CCTGCGCAGCTTGCAGCAGACGCACTGGGGGGCTCGGCCCCGACGGGAACGAGTCTGCGGAGCGGCCGGTGTACTGGCGAGCAGCGCGTGTCTGTGTGTGCGAGTCCGTGTGCGTGTGCGTGGCGCGGCCGGGAAAAGTGGCCGGGCTGTCCCTCAGCGATCAAGTTGACAGGCGCTCCCTCCTCTGGGCCCGGGAGCTCTGATTGCAGATTGAGGAAACAAAATAGCAATTGTAATTACGGGGCTTTGATAAGATAAAGGAAGGAGGGAGCCGGCGGGAGGCGCGCGCTAGGGAGGGAGCGAGAGGGCGGCCCGCGGCGCATCTGCGTCTGTCAGTCACCGGCGCGCCGGGCCGAACCGGTGCCTGCTGCTGGAGCGACCCAGCTGCCCGGTTCCCTAGAAACACAGACATGGGGGAAATGGGAAGCATCCCAGTGGTGGGCAGCTGGTTCCTGGGAACTTTCACATGTGAAGGAATTTGGTCCCGGGAAGCCCGTTCGGAGTTGGAAGCAGGACCAAAACGCTGACCTCCGACCCCTCTGGCCCCAGGACGCCCGTCTCCTCCGGGGAGGGGGAGCAGGCAGAGATCGCTGAGGTTCAGCTCGGTCCCGACCTCCTGGGGGTAAACCAGGGTGGAACACTGGCCTGAGCCAGGTTCTCTGCCCCTCACCCCACTCCAGGAGGGGAGGTACTCGAGGCCGAGGTTGTGGCTCCAGGATCAGGCACATGCTACACTACTGGGCTTGTTTTCGGAGGGCTGTGCGCATGTCGGGGGAAGTCTCCTGCCCTCTCTCCCTTCCCACACACAGTTTCAAGGGCCTACTATGTACAGGGCTTGAGGTTAGCTGTAGCAGAGGCTTCACTCTTGCTAGTTTGGAGCGGTTCAGAGAAAGGCAGACAGCAAGGGTGGCAGCAGCCCTAGCGGAGCCCGGTGAAGGCAGTGCACTGGGCCAGGCCGCCGGCGGAGAAGCCCACCCAGCCTGCCTCCCCCAGTGGCCCGCTTCCCCACACTGCGGAGAGGAGACTGCCTGGGCGCCTCTCGCTGAGGTGCTCAGTAACTGGTGGTTCTAAGATGGCTGTCTGCTAGGAAGGGCGCAGATCTCCCTGGGGAAGTTGCCCCTGGGCTGAAGTTTAAATGCTTGGCCAAGAAGTGTCCCTTTATTCACTCATTCACCCATTCACTCATCCCAGGAACACCAACTGCAGAAGGAACGCCCAGCTCTGCGCCAGGAGCTGCAGTTTCCCTGTAGTATAACCTGGTCCTAGCCCAGGGCTCTGAAGCCAAACTGGGAGTGAACACTCTGGAGGGGCAGTAGGTGGGCTCAGCCATTTCTCTGAGGAGAGGTGAGGTATAGGCAGCACCTTCTCCCTTCCCCTCTGGGTATGTCTCCACCTGTGCATTTGTGACCAGGAGTGGGGAAGGGTGGGACAGGAAAGAGTCCTAGCCCCACCGCCCTCCTGCAGGGGTCTGGAGGGTGGTGGGGAAGAAGTTGTGGGTGCAGGCAGCAGCTGGGAGGGCATCGGTGGCTCCATCTGCTCCTTGGAAATACCTGTCCCAGGGCACCTGTGCTGCCCAGGCTGCTCCTACACGCACATCTCGCTCCGGGCGCTCAGACCTTGGGGAGAGAAGCTCTGAGCCGGGGGTGGGGTGGCATTAAACCAGTCTGCCTTTCCTCCCTCACCCCGCAGTCCACACATAAAGCCCCCAGCCCTGGCCTCCTACACAAGTATAAATACCTGTTAAACGGAAAAAGCCACGGGACTTGGAGGGGGGAAGGGCTGGGAGCCTGGACCCAAGTCCCCTCCCCCAGGAAGAGCTGCTGAGAGCATTTATTTTTGCCCTTGCCGCCTGCTGGATTTTGGGTGGGGGGCAGCGGCTTTGGTCCTCCTTTCACAAAGGTAGCGCAGGATACCTTCGAGCTTCGGCCCGAGAGGGGCAGGAGTGATGTGGTGACGGACTCTCTCGACAGACTGACTTGGGAGACGGCGGGGCTGGGCGCCCGGCGGGATGGGGAGTCAGGTCCCAGCCGCGCGGCGCGGACCCT